ACAGATATTTATAGAACTTTCCACCCAAGAAACACAAAATATACATTTTTTCTCAGACCCACATAGTACTTTCTCAAAGATTGACCACATGATAGGGTACAAAACCAGCCTTTATAGATTCAAAGGCATAGAAACTATATCCAGCATCTTCTCCAACCATGATGGAATTAAACTTGATATTAACCTCAGGAAAAACTCTTGAAAATACACAAATACATGGAAACTAAATAATCTACTTCTGAATGACTTCATGACTACTGCAGAGATTAAGACTGAAATCAAAAGATTCATGTAAACAAATGATAATGAGTATACAAGTTTCCATAATTTTTGGGACTCTGCAAAAACACTCATAAGAGGGAAGTTCATAGCAAGAAAAAGATGGAAAGATGGCAAAGGGACAACCTAACATCATGCCTCAGGGAGTTGGAAAAAACAACAACAAAAAAAATTTTTTTAAATGCCAGGAGAAAAAAAAAATTAAGATTCAATAGAATATAAATAGAATAGAATATAAACAAACTATACAGAAAATAAATGAAAGCAAAACTGGTTCTTTGAAAAGATAAACAAGGTTGACACACTATTAGCTAGACTAATAAGAAGAGAGAAAGGAACCAGATAAATCAAATTAGCAATTAATCAGGCAACATTACAGCAGACATAATAGAAATACAAAACAACATTAGAGGATACTATGAGCTACTATATGCCTGATGTGATTTTCAAGCCACGGGGTCCAGGACTCAAACCATGTCATCTGTCATGTGTAATCCAGTGCCTTAACCTCCACATCACCTCCTGACTCACAGCTATTTTTCATTTCTTTTAGAGAGAGATTTTTACTATAGGGTGCTCACCAGAGAAACAGAAAGAGACAGAGGGACAGAAAAGAGAAATCACTCCTAGGGGGAAATGGCCATACCGCACTCCCTTCTTTCTTTCTCCTCTCACGATCTTGGGTACACACGCACATGCACCCGGCAAGAGTTTAAGCCACTGGGTCCAGGACTCGAACTGTGGTTGACTATATGGGAATCCAGCAATGTAACTATTACTCTATCTGCTGGTCCCCAAGGTATTTCTTGATGGCTACATATATATTTTAGATTAGTAAGTCCTCTTAGTGGAATAACTCTTTTATAACTATACAATGTCTCGTTCTGTCTCTAGTAATTTTCTTTGATATGAATTCTACTTTGTCTGTCATTAATATAACAGTGTTGCTTCCTTTGATTTGTCTTTGCATGATATGGTTGATCCTCAAAAAATTTGAGTCACTTCACATACACATTCTCAGCCAAGGTCAAATAAGGTAACATTCTGCATTTTGGGCTCAGCTCTCATGTTGTAAATAGTGTCCCCACAGTCTTAGTGCTATGTTTTCATATCTCTGTGCTATTTATCGATAACTTCACTGTTTTTTTCCTAATTGATGAGGGCACATCCACTTAACAGAGACACAGAGACAGAGACAGAGAGAAACAGAGAAAGCCCTCCCCTTCCCATCCATGTAGTATGGTTACACCACAATCCTTTTTCCTCCTTTCTCCATTTCATCAGGATTTGGGTCATGCATACACACATGCCTGGCATATTTTTCAAGCTGCCAAAGCCAGTGTTCAAACTGCAGTTAGCCATGTGAGATCCCACTCCCTATGCACAGCACTTAACCCTTGAACTAGGGGGTCATTATCCAATCTGTTTTTCAATTAGTGTATTTACAACATTAATGTTTGATGTCATTATTAATATGTTAGAAGTTGGGAGCCAGCAGTTAGCGTAATGGCTATGTCGCTGGACTCCCACGTAGTCGACCGCGGTTTGCGTCCCGGACCCGGTGGCTCAAAACCCACGCCGGACACATGTGCGTGCGTGCCCAAGATCCCGAAAGGAGAATGGAGGAGAAGGGATTGTGGCGTGGCCATCCCCTCTGGGGGGTGATTTCTCGCTTTCTGTCTCTCTCTCTGTTTGTCTGGCGAGCACACGTGCCCTACAGTGAAAAATCTCCCCCTCCCCCAAAAAAATGTTAGAAGTTAAATATGTCTTTTTAGCTTTTTTCTATTTTTACTGTTTCTCTTCCTGTTGTTTTTTTCCTGATTTTCTGTGGATTACTTGAACACTTTCTAAATTACAGTTTTATTTATCTATAGTGTATTTGGATATATCTCTTTGCATAGCTTTTTCAATGGTTGCTCTAGATATTGCATTATATATGCATGACATCACAGTCCACTGATGTCATTATTTTACCAGTTTGAGTGATGTATAGAAACCTTACCTCCAATTATACCCCACAACCCTTCCACATTTACCATAGAATTTCCTAAAATATTTCCTCACATAGCTTTAAAATAACATTAGACAGTGTTATACTTTTCATCTCACTTGTTGAGCACAAGTAAGAAAATTCAAGAGGAAAAGAAAAGCCTATTGTATTTACCGATATATTTTCTTACCATGTTCTTTCTAAAGTTCCAAGGTTTTGTCTCATTATTTCATTTATGTTTAGAGAATTTATTTTAGCCATTATTTTAGGTAGATCAATTTAAGATTGTTTTCCTTTACCTAGGCATGATTTTCTTACCTAAGTCTTGATTTTCTCTTTATTTATAAAGGATATGATTTTCAGGAATAAGATTCTGGGTTGGCAATTATTTTCTTTCAGCACCTAAAAGCTGTTTGTTCTATCCTCTTCTGACCTCCATGATTTCCGATGATAAAGTCATGGTCATTTTCATTTTTTTCTCTTATTAGGTAAAGTGTCACTTTTCTGTTTTCAGGATTATTATTTGTTTTTCAGTCTTTAATTTGCGAAAGTTAAATTATAATGTTT